TTTTTTCCTTTTACTTTTAGGCTTAGTTTCTTTCGAGCTGGTGATTTGTTAATGTTGTTAAAATCTAATATAAGTCTTTTAGTTAGTTATCAGTGGAGGTTGTTATGCGTGTTAGGTGGCCATTAGCTGAACCTTTTTCTCCTAATCACGATCATGAAATGTCCCCAAACTTCCATTCCTAAGTTAGAAGTTTCCTATAGTATAGTTAGGGTTGCTCAACTAATTAAGTATTATGTCCGCTATTTGTAAAGTGATGGGATCAAGATTCTGAGAATTTAAAACTATATGAAAAAAAGTAATTTTTTCACGTGACTTGGCCTGAAGGTTACCATATAGTATTCTGGTGGTATTATGATGATATTTTGGTGGTATTCTTGGGTATTCTAGTGATATTGTGATGATATTCTAGTGGTATTATGGTTGTATTCTTGTGATATTATGGTGGTACATGGTGATATTCTTAAGATATTTTTGTGATATTCTAATAGTATTATGATAATATTATTTTTGTTTTGTTCTGATATACCAATAGAATACCACCATAATATCACCAGCAAAACCGACTGGTGATATTTTGGTGATATTATGACAACATTATGGTTGTATTCTAGTTGCAATTTGATAGTATTCTAGTGATATTATGGTGGTATTATTGTGATATTAATACGGTATTATTGTGATATTTTAGTGATATTCTGGGTATTTTGGTTGTATTCTCGTGATATTTTGGTAGTATTTCAGTGGTATTATGAATGTATTTTGGTGATATTCTGGTAGTATTATAATATAACAACAGAATACCACATGAATATCATAAAAATAACACCAGAATACGACTATAATACAACAAAAAATACACCACCAGAATACTGTAATAATACTGCTAGAATACGAGCATAGCATTACTAAAATATCACCTGAATAACGTCATAATATCACTAGAATATCACCATAATATCATCAAAATACTACAATATTGTCACAATAATACCATCAAAATACTACAATAATATCATAATATCACCAGAATACCACCGAGCGGTCTTCGATCCTGATCACGTGAAAAATAGTTTTTTCATATTTTTTTTAATTCGTAAAAATCCGGTTCCACCACTTTACAAATGACGATGTATTATTGGTGTCCCCAGGGTACGTACTCTGGACACTATTTTCTCTGCTTAGCTAAGATAATTATTTTTTTGATACTTTCATGTTTTGATTTTGATATAGCCGAAGTGTAGTGTTGTGAAATTAGCTCGAATATCATTAATCGCTCAAAAATCTCTTCAAATTTTGGCTATGATTGAAATAAACGAGCCGAAACTTTGGATCGAGCTATTTTCAAGCCAATTTCAAACATAGATTGACTTGAAGTATGAGCTGAAATGAACCAAATAACTCAATTTGAGCCAAGTCATTTTGACTTTGAGCTGGTTTTAAGCCGATTTCGAAGTGGAATGGACCCAAATAACTCAATTTGAGTCAGATTGTTTCGATTTCAAGCCTGATTGAGCTCGATTCAATCTCCCAACATTTAGCAAAATTATATCAGGTACCTTAAATGCGAATTTTGCAAACAATTAAAGATTGGCGCGCATAGGCTATATTGTGGGAGAAGGGATGATTGTGATCCATTCGGTCTAAAACTACAACCCTTAAAATTTTCATTATATTTCAAATTTGATGGTTAAAGCTAGAATTTGTAATATATATATATATATATATTCTCATTAGGGGTGTGAAGGAGCCAAACCAATTCATGAGTTTGCTTGATAAGTGGCTTGTGAGCTATGCTAGATGAGCAAATAAACTAAGCTTAAGCCAACCCTCGACTCAACTAGTTAACTCATGTGCCGGTTCATTAAAAAAAAAATGTATAAAATATATTAAAATTTTATCTTAAAATTATTTAAAATTTCTAAAAAAATAGTATTTAATATTTTATATCAAATGATTTATTATTAGTTATGTCATGAGTATTCATTTTATTTATTATTTTATTATAAAACTAGCAAAACTAAATATTATTTTCTCTTAATTTTCTCATTTTTATAGTAAATAAGTTTATCAGATCGATCTCGAATTTGAGCTCAAACTCGATTAATTAATCAAGCTCAAGCTCAACCATATGACATCCGTGGTTGCCGAAGCAAGGGATCTATATTCCGCCCCTGTGGAAGATTGGGCCACAACCGTTTGTTTCTTTACTGTCCAGGAAATGGATGCATCACCTAGGTATGTGTGGAAGGCTATTGTAGATTTTCCCATAATGGTGTCACTTGCCCAATCAGTATCAACATATGTGTGAAGTTGAAGGTTTCCCAGAGGTAGGTGTAGGCCAAAATGTTGTATGCCTTTGAGATACTTAAGGACACAAGTCAACAAGTTGAAGTGGTAATCGGTCGGGGAGTGCATATGTTGACACAATTGGTTGACCGCAAACAAAATATATGGCCTTGTGATTGCAAGATATTGAAGAGATCCAGTAAGTTGACAATAAAAAGTGGGATTGTGAAAGGGTTTATTTGGTGGGTGTGGGTTTGATTGCCTGAGAGGTAAGGGAGTATTAACTAGGTTGCACTCTAGCATGTCGATAGTGAAAAAGAATCTGAGATATGTACTGGGACTGTGAGTGAAGCCAAGAGTGGGAGTTTGGTTTGCCAATATATCCATAAAGCATGAGATTGACCAAAGATGTTTAAGTTAGAATTTGGAATTGAGTTCCTCCACAAGTTGAGAGATGGTCTCTGGTTGATTACCTGTTATAAGCATGTCATCGACATAGACCAACACATAGATGGTTTTAGTGTTTCAACGGTAAAGAAGTAAGGACAGATCAACTTTACTCATAGTGAATTCTCGTTCACTGAAGAATGTAGAGAGCAGAAGGAACCAATGCTCGATGCCAGTTTGAGGCCATAGAGAACTTTTTGAAGAAGGCAAACATGGTTGGGAAGTTGAGAATCAATAAAGCTGGGAGGTTGACACATATAAAATGTTTTAGAAAGATTGTTGTGTTGCAATGCATTGGATACATCAAATTGAAGTACCTCCCAATTGTGATGTAAAGAAATTGTCATAGGATATGAATCATAGATATTTCAACCTCTAGTTGAAGGTCTTGAGCAACTAGCCTCACTTTGTAAAGAGAAACTCTTCCATTCGAGTGTAATTTGGTAGTGTAAATCAAGCGAGAGCCTAGTATAGGATTGTTAGTAGCATTTGGGGCAAGCATCCAACTGCCTTACTTCTGAAGTGCATCAAATTCTTCTGCCGTAGCATGACACCAATGAGAGAGCTTGACTGCTTGACTATAACATGTTGGATCAAAATTTGAAACCACGTGATGAGAGAGATTAAGTTTATGAGTTGGCTTAAGGTGTTCTATTCACAAGCGGGTTGCCATGAAATGAGGGAAGACCGACGGTGATTAGGATGGGGAGGGAGGTACCGTTGGGACAAACTGTTAGTTGGTAGAGAAATGTTGGGAGGAGGTGCTAATAAGTTGATTGCTATATTGGATGTTCGAACATGAATGCTTGTAGGAGTTAGAAGTAGTGGATTAGGGGTAACTGTCAGAGGAGGAGATGGAGTTTGTACATGAAATAAAGTCTTCCTAGGAAACATTAGTTCATCAAATGTGACGTGGTGAGAAATGATAATTTTCTTGGTGGATGGGTTGCAACACTAATATCCTTTATGGGTGGATGAGTAACCAATTAAGATGTACAATATGGAGCGAGGTGCTAGTTTATGAGGGTAACAGGAGCAAACAAACAACTTTGAGATGAGAGTAGGAGGGAGGAGTACCATGTTGTGTTAGTAAGGGGAACTATGGTGGATGACTTTGGTCGGGATTCTGTTGATGAGGTAGGTAGTAGCAAAAAGAGCATCAACCCAAAATGCATAAAGGTAGATGGGCATCATGAAATAGAGCGTGAGTAGTTTCAATAAGGTGTCTATGTTTACGTTCCACCACCCCATTTTGTTTTAGGGTATGTAGGCAATAAAATTGTTGAATCGCTCCATTTGAAGTGAGTTAGTCATGCAAGGCACGGTCATTGTATTCACCCCCACCATCAGTACGGAGGATTTTGACTTTTGTGTTAAATTGTGTTTGAAGCATTGTTATTTGGTGCTGAATTTTAAGTGTAGCTTCAAATTTTGTAATCAAAGGATATATCTAACATAAATGAGATTCATCTTCAACAAAAGAAATATAGTATTGATAACCATAAGTAGAGGTAATTGGGGAGGTGTCCCGTACATCTGAATGAAGAAGTTTAAACTTCTTGTATCTATGCGGAAACTAGAACCAAATGACTTCTTGCGTGACTTTGTAAGTAGACAGGTATTACATTTAGTTAAAGAAGGAAAAATATGCAAATGTTGTGTTTTGGAGATGGTGTCGATGATGACTGGGTGTGGATGTCCCAATAGTTTGTGCCAAAGATCAGAAGTAGCTGATTTTTGGAGAGTGACAGAAAGAGCTAGGATGAAGTAAAGCCCATGGGAGCTTGGGCCTTGGAATAGAACTCGATTAGTTTGTGGAATAATGATAGAAAAACTAGAGGGGTTAAAGAGACAATGAATTTGTTATCTTAGATTAATTTATGGATTGAAAGGAGGCTATTAAATAAGGAAGTTGAGTAGCATATATGTTGTACTTGAAGCTGGTGTGGAGTGAGAAGGAGGCTGTCACCCTTCTGATGAATAGGAATTGATTGATCGTTGCTCATGAATATTAAATTTGTTAGTTTTTTTTTTTTTTTTTGAAGCCGGATTTATAGAATTCGGAGAAATTGAAGCTTGTGAGAAGAGGTAAATCCTATTAAATTGTTATTTATTTATTTTTATTTTGTTAAAATTTACTTACTAATATATCAAATAATTTTTAAAATTTAATCCTTCAAGGTTTCATTATTCCAAATTTAGCCAATTTATTAAATTCAAATTAAACCCTACTGCCACCAAAGAGCCATGAACTTCAGAAATCGAAGAAAGACACTGAATTTTCTTAATTTCGAATCAGCCCCTCCTCCTTCGGTACCGTTACGAAAACATGTCCGCTGAGAAAATTTCCAGTTAACACCACCAACCGGTCTCCCCGCTCCCCACTAATACCCCCCGCTGCTTCCCCGCCAACTCCGCTCTCGCTGCTCTCTCTGGACTGCACTCATCCCTCTACGCTGCTGTTTTCCCCTCTCTGCTCCATTACTCAGCTGACTTAACACGCTGTCTCTCTCTCTATCAACTATAACTCAATATCCAGGCGGCGTAAATCGTAATGGTGGCCGTCGTAGCTGTCCCAGGATGCGGCGAAGAGCAAGCATTTCCCAGAACCCCATCATCCCTCCCTCCATCAGAGCGCGGCTTCTCGAGGTGTCTCCCATCATCCCTGCTCTCTTCTTCCAAATCCAACTCTTCCTCTTCTTCTTTGTCCTCTTCCTCCTCATCCACTCCCCAACGCTTTCGTTCTCCGCTTCATAACCCGACTTCCCAAACCCCATCGACGTTGTCCAAAAAACGTTCCCAATCCGTGGATCGACTGCAGACGTCTACAAGAAGCCTGTCCGTCTCCTTCCAGGGCGAATCCTTCGTATTCCAGACCAGCAAGTCCAAACCCACACCGAGAAAACCCATCTCAGAGTCCCGGAAACCCATTGTGGCTTTTACTGGGGTTGACAACTCCCAGCCAAATGAGAAGCAGAGGCCCCGGTATCCGACGGCGAGGGCAAGGGAGGCGAATTCATTGACGAGGAGTTTGAATTGTTCCGTTGATAGAGATAATCCCATATTGCTGACGGTTCGATTGCTTCTTGATGAGGCTAATTTCAACATTGGCGATCCATCTCAGTCGTCGGATTCTGATAGTTTGTCATATGAGAGCAATGCGAAAGTGCGGGCCAAGCCCCGTGGTATCTGTGTTCCTGCTAGGTTTATGCAGGAGAATGGTTGTCCTCTCCCTCATGTCGAAACCACTCAGAAGCTGATTAGTGGAAAGCAGCAGCCATTAGCTAATACTCAACTGCCATCTCCCAAAATTATTTCTCCTGCTCCATATGGACCCAAGTTTTGTCTCCCGAGACAGGACGGGGCTTCACGGACTAGAAGAAATATCATGGAGAATTACTCCAATGGTCATGTAGGCAATGCTCCTTCCATTATAAGCTTTGCTTCTGAAGTGAGGAGGACAAAGAAAGGTGAAAGCCGGATTGAAAATGCCCATATGTTGCGACTATTTCATAATCGGTATTTGCAATGGCGTTATATCAATGCCCGTGCTGAAAATGCATTTTCAACACATCTGGTAAATGCCAAGGTAAGGAAAGATGTTGAGCTTGTGGATTTGATACATATATTGATTTCTATTGTTATCTTCATATCTGCGAACTGTCAAATGGAATTTTGGTCGTAGAACATGTCAAAAAGTCCCCTTTTTTCATTGGAAATCTGATTTGCTCTTGATACACCATCAACAAATTTTCATAATTCTGCATGAATCTCGAGTCACAACACGAATGTAGGGGCAATTTTTTAGCAAAAAAAAGTTTAAACTTCAATTAAAATTTAAACTAGTCCTGAATAGACCTCGAAATTGGGTGGGTGGCTCGACGGGCTCGCCATTAGCCTGCTTGGAATGGGCAGACTTGGCCATGAAAAAATTAAAATTTTGTGGGCTCAGCGCAGCCTGAGCCCGCTTTGACTTAGTCAAAGCCCAAGTAAACCCGACCCATGCCAAGCTCAACCTACCAAATGACCAAGTCTCATAGGTGTAGCTCGCGATTGCAAGCTTTTGAGCAGGTTAATTCTTTTTTCTTAAAATTGCTTTTTAATACTTCGGCAAGAATTTGAAAATTGATGTAACATATTTAACTACATAGTTTTCTTCTAAGAGTAGCATTCTTTCAATCCTTTTATGATATCAGGGATTAAATTAACACGTTTAAGGTTGTAGAGCCTTCTTTGGAAAGCAGTGTTCATGTATTTAGACACAACATTGGAGGTTTTTGTTTTGTCCAATTAGCATAAAGTAGGATCTATTACATATATAGCACTAAAAAACATTGCTACATACAAAACTTTCACGTACTTGCATCTATGTTTCGAATTCCGACCAAAATATCAAAATGATAGTATATAACATATGAAAAATCACTTCTTTTGAGGCTTGTAGGCGGCCCGTGGGCTTGCCCTATCTGCCTGTGATGTTGCGGCAACCTTTAGAATAACCACTGCTAATTAGAAATTATGTAAGTTTGATCAGCATAAAAAAGGTAGAAATTAACATTATATTTCAAATTAAAATATCATACCTTGAACTCCATAAAAGATATATTTTGAGTCGCAATCGGGATCTAGTTCCATGAGAGATATGATTGATCATACTTGCTCCAGATGATCTTCGTGGTCCGCATCACGGGCGGCTTGGAGGGCTAGAACCTGTAATTAAAACATTAATTACATTATACAATCGAATAAAAATTGAAATTACTTTAATGTAAAAAAGAAAGTTGACTTACGAGTCACCCTTCGACACAATATAGACTCTATCGGCGGTGTCAGCCATCTCAAGTGCTGGATTCGAAGTGCATGGTTCATCGGATGAGCAATCTGGGTGTAAATATGGTGCAAGTGTGGGAGGTGGTGCCAATGAGGAAGCTGGTGCGGGAGGAGGGGCAACAGGAGTGGTGATCTGAGTGACTGCATGAGTATTGTACGTGTCAGCGCTGGTGACAACCTTCTTCAACCTCCAATATGTGTTCCCCCAAGTCCCCTAAACGCGAGGACTCTTTGGAGGCTGAGCGCCTGTCATCTGCAATGGGAAAAAAAATAGAATTAGTAAACATGTTTAGTATGTAATATAAGACAAAAGTAAAACCAGAACAGAGTAGAATGCTAACATGAAACATGTCATGACTATGCATAAAATCAAGAAAATCAAATAGGATAACTTTAGTTTAAGAACCGAAAGTAAAAACAAGAAGGTGCAGAAACTAATCATCTAAGTATACATATCATTTTTTAGTCTGTTTTATTCGAAGATCTATATTTTGAACAGTTTAAAATTTCTTCGTCAATCTCATCATCATTTTCATCCATATCTAGAGAGATTTTTTTATGAAGCCCTGTGATATCCTCTAGGAGCAACTCGTCTTTGATTGAGCTAAGTTGATCATGAAAATCAAACATAACTGACACTTGGTGAATAAGTTCGATAATATTTTACATCTCAACAGTTTTTCGTGGTTTTTTATTTTATTCAGAAATCAGCACGGTTGAGTCATTTTAAAAACAAAAAGATATTAGTTCACATTACAATAAAAGACATAGCTTTTAAAGGGATACATCCACTTGTATTGCATTGGACCCCCCCAATATAACCTCATAACATATATGTATGGGTAGATATTTTATTGAGTCAAAAAAATCGGGAGAAAATATCCTTTCGAGCTTGCATATAATTAACTAAGTACTCGCGTCAAGACCTCTTAGAGAATTAATATTTAAAGTCGTGCGTACAATACCTTGAAAAATTTACTAATTTCGATCAATATATCAAGTACTGGCTTTGACAGACATTGAATGTAATAGGTAACCAACACTACATTAAAATATGACAATTGTGGCTCTTCATACCAAATATTTTTCCCATCCTCATATCAATACATTGGCTAACGTTAAAAATACAACCACTCGGAAACTTCAAAGAATGCAACCACTCAAAAATTTTATTTTGTTAATCCAATGTGAGACAATATGTAGCTTTGAGCTTTATTATTTTACCTGCAATTGTCTCTTGCAGTTCTAACTCACTCCTATTGCAATACTCCCTTAGATTAAATCTTGCTTTGACATTGTCTTTTAATTTTTTCTTGATATCGAGAACAATATTAAATATATTATCAAAAAAATTCTTCTCAATATGCATAACATCCAAATTATGTCTAATCAGATTGGTCCTTCAATATGGAAGATTGCAAAAATTACTCTACTTCATCCAGTTATATGTGACGCCGAAATCTGGAAGACGACTTGAGGCTAGTTCCAGTCTTTCAATGCTCTTTGGCAATTTATTAATCATCTGCAATATATCGCTTTCACCTATCTTTGGGGGTGGACTTGATTTTTCAACTCTATTTCTGAAAAATAAGTTTTTATTTCTTCATAATGGGGGATCAAGTGCTAAGAACCTTCAATCACAATCAAACCAGGAATTTTTTCTTCCGCGCTTCAAAGTGAATATTGGACATGTCCATACAGTAGGTACAAACCAATTTCCTTGTTGTGGTCCTACTAGATGGCATCCCATAAGCTGGAAATTCACTGATCATTGACATAAGAGCAGCTATAAGATGAAAATTTGTTTTGTTGCAATATCACAAGTCAACACACCGGTTTCCCACAAAACCTATAGCTCATCTATAAGAGGTTGTAAGTGCACTTCAATTTTACCCTTTGGGCTATGTGGACCTGGTATGATATTAAAGATGAGAAAGACGCAGTCATACACATATAAAGGGGCAAATTATATGGTGTGATAATAATTGTCCAATATGAATAGAGTGTTACAGCGTGACTGTAAAATATGAATTCATCTGAACATAAGACAAGCTTAACGTTGTGTAGTTTTGCTGTAAAATCAGGATAACTGCGATCAAAGTGTTTCCAAACTTCACCAGTTGAAGGATGAGTCATTGTATTAGCACCAAGATATCCAATAGAGAAGGGACCCAACCAAAGATGGAGGTAGAACCGGGTGACCAAGGACCCATGCAAGTGAAATGTCAAACCCAACTCATATGCCCAGAGACGATCGACAAGCTCCACAAGTGGTGTATAACGATTGTCAACGACTCCTAGGGAGTTTCAACACTCGACAACAACAGGCTGGCAAAACAATCGCCATTGGCCATAAGATGACTTGCCACCCGACAGTGACAAGCTCCGTGAGGGTTGTACGACGATCATCTTTGGCTTATGAGGTGACTCGCCACCCGACAGCGACAAACTCTGTGGGGTGTACGACGATCGTTTTCAACCCATAAGATCACTTGTCACTCGGCATTGACAAGCTTTACGAGGGGTGTGCGACGATCGTCTTCGGCCCATGACATGGCTTGCCACCTAACGGCGATAAGCTTCACAAGAGGTGTATGACGATCATCTTCGGCCCACAAGTTACTTATATTTTTTTCTCGTATGTGTAGGCGAGGAGAAAAATTACTAAAAATACATAATATAAGAAATGAAGATAGTAAATAAAGGGTCAATCATTAAGATATAGTCTAAGAAGAGACACATCAAAATGAAGGAAAAAAATACAAAATGAGTATTGTACATATGTTATACTATCTTCTAAGACGCTGCCTAGGTCGTATCGCTCCACTGTCAAGTGTGTAGTAATCAAACAATCGTCGTGGCCACTGTTGCAGGTGTTACTGCTGCTGTTGGCCGTATAAATGCTCATGGTCATTCTTCCGTACACATGGCTGGTCCAAGCGATATGAAGCAAACCATCTCTCATCGGATATAAAATATGCTTAAGCCCCCCATAACTGTTGATCCTGTAAAGGTAATGTCGCATGAGGCATCCAAAAATGCTACTGTGATGGGACGCTACCTGATGTTGCCCAAGTAGGACCTACTCCATGATATGAGACCATAGTGTCATCGTGTGAAGAATAAATCTGGTAAACATAAGGTGGTGGAATGGTGTAAGCCAAGCAGGATGGCCCGAGGTCATCGTTTGTCAGTGGTAGAGGTGGTGGATCATCCGCATCCTCATCTTTGCTCTCATCTCATATGGACATATCGTCTCATTTGGCTATAGAGCACCTCCATGTCATTTATCGCCTTTTGTCTTGGAGTCTCATCACCAGAGACCCAATAAGGTGATAGAATTCTCTGTTTTCATAATATAATTACACTACTAAAATAAATTAATGCTTTTAATAAATATTATAAAATTGCATTAAAATAATTTAGTACATACCAGGGCTCGCTGCACTATAGACCTAGGGTAATATGTGTCAGAAGTATCCATTGGGGCTCTAAGTAAGTGCAATGTAGACCATGACCGGTACCAGTTCATATAGACTTTAACTACTCAACGATGATCCAGTCCTTCAGAATGTTGTGCCACAACATATGCTTCTCTACTATCCCAGATCACGACATATCGTCAGTGGTAAGTGGCCTGGTCTACACCACTCTTCCCCCCTTCCATCAACTCTTTGAAATCCAGACTCTATCGGCTGAACATCATTACTCGGAACCGTCCAAACTGACGAGTAACTCTCTTTGAGAGGAGCCACCCTA